GCGTGTGGCAGGGGGGTTGGAGATTCATCATCCTTGAGGTCCCTTCCAACCCTGGCAATTCTGTGATTCTGGGGGGGGTGGCAGCGGGGTGGAGCTGCAGACGGGACCCGGAGCGGCTGCCTCTCCACGTCCAGCCCGGCTCAGCCGTGTCGGCTGTTCTCTTGTCGCTCTCGTTTGATTTAGTTAAGGGGAGCCTAAATTTCATCTTAGGTGAAGATGAAACTTTTGCAAAATGGCAAACAAAAAGTGAAACACAGAAGTAAGCGCAAAGCAAACACAACCACATTCAGCTGTTCTCATACTGCAGGCTGTTACACTTCTAGAATTAGAAACAGAACCACGAGGCAGAAGGAGAAACAGCCAGTGATTATCTCACACAACACTTTCCTCAAAATTACTCATTCTCCCTGCTTTATCTTCAATCCTACATTTCTACACTTGCAAATTTGCCAGCGGTTAACATAGAAAATGGCACAGAGTACAGTCACAGCTATAACTCAGTCATTATTAGAGGAATGGCTACCAAAACAAACAAACAAACAAAACAAAACAGAACAAAATATATGTTGAATACAGCTAGCAAACCCTATTCAACGATGACAAAACACTAACAGCCCAGGGGAACTGCTGCTCAGAAATAGTGGTGAGGCATTGGCACAGGCTGCCAGGGAGGTGGTGCAGTCACAGTCCTGGAGGTGTTCAGGAAACGTGGAGATGTGGCACTGAGGGATGTGGTTTAGTGGGCATGGTGGAGATGAGACAATGGCTGGACCAGATGATCTTAGAGGCCTTTCCAACAGCTTCAGAAAACCTGTTAGTGTACTAGAACGAGGTTTTTAGGCACTTTTTCCTTCCTAATAGAATTACAGCTCTTTCCCCACATAGAAATCTTCCCAGCTGCCATTTTTCAGGGCTGTGAGTATGGTCTCCATTGCCCTGACAACACCCTGGCCATCAGCCACTCTCATGAGAGCTGCCTGGTGCTGTAGGGTCGCTTTACTTTCTTGGTGTTTGCCTGGCAAAGGAAACCCCTAAAAGTGCCTTACACCTCCAGATCAGCTGCTCTGTCCTGGCATGTATGTCCTGTGATGTCCTGTGATGTATGCCCTCCTGCCCACATAAGCAGTCAGTGAAGGCAGTCAGGCTTGTCAAATATGATGTGCTCTTAGTAAAACCTTGCTGAGCGCAGTTCCTGAGTGCATTCTTGTCCTTTGCATCTCTGAAGAAGTGTTATAATCGAGTGCAAGCTGTGATGCTCTTATTGTCTGACTGACAAGCTTATAGCCTACAGCGTTTGATTC